CCCATCCTCACACACACCATACACACACACAAAAAAAAGGTAAATCATTCAAGCTGGAGGAGGAATCATCCATTGTCCTGTAAGAAACTCTGATTTCAGACTTAAGCTTAAGTTCTGTAAGATGGAGATGGAATATCAAAGAACTGACTCAGTTTTTTTTTTGAGAATTTCAGATATTCTACGGTTCAAATTCCAGAGTGCCCAAGGTTTTATTCCAACTTTAAAAACTTATTATTCTTTCCCTTATTCACTTTGCCTTTATGTCTTTTTAACGTTATTTTCATCAGTTCAATATCCAAAGGAAAGCCGAGAATTCAACGGTGGCAGACAAAAGATTGGGCCAATTCTTAGCTTGAAAAACGAGTGACAGCCAATTCAAATGTAAATACAGTACTAGATAAGCAAATTGGCTAATAGGCTTGATTGTGAGAGTAGCTAAAGCTAATTATGATTGTGCCCAGTTGGGTGAGTTGGGTACATGTTCTGTTCATTCTTAGTAAGTGTTTTGATGTTTAACTGCCTTACCAAGTCATTGTCTTGGTATAGTTTGTGCCATTATTACTGTTACACAACGCCTTCCTGATATTCTTTGGAAGGGCAACGTAAGGCTAAGCAACCGATGTCAGTGNAACGCCTTCCTGATGTTCTTTGGAAGGGCAACGTAAGGCTAAGCAACCGATGTCAGTGCAGTTGCTGTCCACCAATGAGGTCCCCTCCGCACGCTAGACTAGATTGTCAGTGCCGTGCGGGAAAACCAATGTCATGAGCAATTGCGGAAGCTGAGAGAGAACTGAGTTTTGAATGATGATGATGATTTTATTGATGACTGAAAATGCTGATTGCAAAGATGCGGTGTCGAGGGGGAGAGACACCAGAAAAATGCTTGCTTGAAATGTTTGATTGTTTGNTGCTTGCTTGAAAATGTTTGATTGTTTGGTCCCCCTTAATAATGCTTAAAAAAAATAAACCAACATTACATGACTAGTCCTAATAAAGCTGTAGAAGCACACTGAAATGGAAATGATGTAAACTAGCCTATAATTACAATGAAAAGGACTTAGTTTATTACAAGGTAGAACTAAGTCCGATAGTAGCAACTTTGTCCTGCGGGTCAGGGTCTGCGCGCGCGTTGCTGTGGGCGCGCGCGACATTTGCTGTGTTGGCCTGAGGCTGGGCGCTGGTGCTT